GAGCCGGCAAAGGTCCATTGGGATTTGCGCTCATCCTCGTCGCCATCCCAGCCGTCGGCCTTGATGGCCGTCATGATCTGCTTCTCAAAGTTGGCCAAATGCTTGCTCACATTCGCCATCCAGTCGTTCTCGCGCAGCACCAGCGCGTCATCGGAGAGCAGCCAAATGCGCTCGGTGAGATTGAAGCGCAGGTTCTGTATGTCCCGCTTGACCTGGACGCACACACATGGAGTGACTGTTAGCCGGGTTGGGTGCTTATGAAACCCGGTGCGATCTCACCTCAATCTCATGCGGTCGTTCGAGATGCTGAAACAAATAGGCACCGCCCACACAGTACGAGACCACAAGCAGCACGAGCAGTACATGGGAAACGACACAGGTGAGCACCTTCCACGAGAAACAGATGGCAGCCACACAGCGTCCGCGTTCCGGCTTTGCCGGCTCCATCATGTGCGGCGGCAGGGAGTGTGCCCGCCTGCCCGACATGGTCGTGCAACTCTTCGGCTATGCGTCTTCCCTTGGCCAATTTCGTGGTTCGCTGCACACAAATTATGAAAAGGCGAACTAAATTTGTTGAACCCGAATCAAAATAGTCGACGGTTAAATACCCTGTTAAATATTTACTATGATTTGACTAAGATCTTCAGCTTATATACCATTTCTACGACTTATAGAGGGTATGCAAAATAAACCCGGTTTGAATCAAGCCGGTTCGAACCCCAAATTTAACATTTCTTGCCATAAACTGAATTTTTCACTGGATTTGTTAGATAACGCAAAAAATATTACAGAAACATCAATATTCATTAATTGAATAAAAGCAATGCATTGATAAGGTAATCTTTTAAAATAGTTGGGCTTATAAAAACACAAAGGACAAACAATTACAAGCTAAATAGCCAGGTGGCGAAATGGAAGTGGGAAATCCCAATCCTCACACATGTACATTAAGATTTGTCTAAATATTTATTTAGTCGACTCGCCAGCCTCGCAAGGTCGGGTAAGTGGTTAGGGGGGGGCTATGCGGCTGTGCTTTATGGAAACTATTTTGGGGAACAACATCCATCTCGTCAACAGACAGACAGACAGACAGACAGAAAAACAGACAGACAGGCAGACAGACTCGCCGCAAGAAATTTTTACTTTTCATAGTCTAAATACTAGCCGGAATGGCACAACAAATAACCGAACAGACAGATGGACTATATATATATATATGTATATATATATATATTGTATGAGAAGATGCTATATAACATGCACGAATAATTAGTAGCTTTGATTTCATTTGATTTCTTATTGGGCAATTATCGGCGAGCAATTTATTAACTTTTTGGCTGTACATGGCATAATTTACATTTATGTACGCCAATCTTTTGAGCCGTACCGCACTATTAGGATTTGTTCTTCTTGCTTTTTTTAAATATATTTCCAAATTCAATTCATTTTTGTGTGCACGTTGCGTGTTTATTTTCTGATATGGATCGCAACGGCAACAGCACATGGACCGATCCCGACGACTCTCCAAAGATTACTGAACATTTCTCTGATCGGAGATCGGCGATCGGTGAGTGGTTTATTTTTGTTGCTACTTGGGCTAGTTGTAGTAGCTTGTAGTTTTCTTCTATTCTGAACATTTTGGAATACTTTTTGTTTACTTTGTGCATCTCAGTTGGCATTACACTTGTTCTCCCGAGAACACGGAACAAGAGATTCGGTCAGCAGCTGATTTGTCAGGCACAACCAGAACAACAACGACAAATAATGCATTTCTCTCTTTCGATTTTAGAGTAATATGCAATATGTTTTTAAAAATTCTCTTGTAAATATCTTTTTAAATATACAATATTGTAAAAAAGTGCACTGTTATTTTTGTCTACACCACAAAGGTTCATTATCAAATCTTGGTTGTAAAACTCAAGTTGTGAAATATCAATACTTAAGATATAGATAAGGCAAACGCTATATATAGACAAAAAAGTTTGGAACGCCCCATTGAACAGGCCCTAATCGACATTCAACTGTCGGAACGAACCCTCCAGCCCAAATAGACCCTCAAAGTCAATTGGCTTGCCCGGTCGGAGGCGCTCATCCGTGCCATAGTTCTGCTCCTCTACCCAATAATTCCTGTAGGCGCTTATGCGCTCCTCCCAATCCTTTATCAGTTCTGGTATGGAACCATTTTCGCCACCGTACTCAACGGGCAAATACTTTTGCGGTATTTGCTGGTACAGGGCATCAAAATTGTTGCCGTGCACATAAAGCTGTAGGAAAATGATAAGGACGTTGAGTTCCAGAAGGATTAGCTACAAGCTGATGTGGAACCTACCCGTTGCTGTTGCTTTTTGGACATCATCGGCTTGAACATGTTGAAGACCTTATCAAAAGCCGCGGGAGTGTTAACGAAATGGGTGCCCTTTGTGCGCATGGGCAGTGCCTCCTCCTGGAAAACGGTCATCTTCTTGGCAAAGGAAGGCGTCATCTGAAAGAAGTGCCCGGCCTTTACGTCGCTCAAGTCCAGAATATTGATGACCCCATTGACTATAGCATCATCGTCTTCATTGAGCATTATTTGATGCATTAGACTACTGGCCCGATTGATTTCAATGAAATTGTGCTCATCGGGATTGTAGGCGGCCATGCGCAATACAACTATCCGTGGTCCATTATCATGCAGTGGGCGTGGCAATACGATAGCAGTGCTACAACTGAACCTGATTCAAAGTTCGAAACGAGCATAGAATGCGACTCACCCTAATCGGAAAAGAGCAAGCAGCTTGTCCACATCCACATTGTGTCCAATGAAGTATTCGGGATACTTGGTACGCAGCGTGTAAAACCGATCCATTTTGGACTTGGTCTTCTCCAGGCTGTGCTTGCAGCCACGCAAGAAGTTGACCAGAAACTGGTCATCGGTGCGCGCTTTCAGATGTGGCTGCTGAGCAATCCACTGACGCAGTGCGGCTATGTCCGCATCCAGGCGCTCCGGAATCTCGTTCAGCTGCTCGATAGCATTTTGCTGCAGGGCCGGACTTAGCGGACGAATGGACGGCATGTTGGCCAGGTCGGGCAGCCAGTGCACAACTGAAGGTCTTTGTTCGGGCTCGATTCATGGGCAGCCACATTAATCAATCCAAGATAAGATAGTAGACAAAGGCCAGACAGCACAACCTATTCTGAGAAGAGAGCGGTAGTGAAGCACAAATCAAATCAATTTATTGGCTGTTTATAGTTTTACAAAGTCAGTCGATATCCAACATGCGGAATGAGCCATCCAGGCCAAAGTAGCTCTGGCAGCTTGTATTGGCTGGGTTTTCTTCCCGCAGCTTTTCATTGGTGCCAAAGTGACGCGACTGCTCGAAGTATTCGCGATAGCTGCACATCTTGGCCTCCATTTGGTCTATGATGTCCTGCATGGTGCCCCTGCTGCCGCCGTATTCCTTGGGCAGATACTCGCGACGCACACGCTCAAAGATGGCCTCCGGATCGGAGCTGACAGATACCTACATAGAATGAATACTATGAAGCGCTGCTGATCGCTGGCTAAGCTTCAACAGATGTGACTCACGCGATTCTTGATCTTATCGGGAAAGAAGGAGCGCAGCGACTTGAAACCACTTTCGAATGAGGCGGGCACATTTATAAAATGTATTCCCTTCTGCCGTGTAGGCATCGCCTCATCCGCAAAGGCCGAAAACTTGCTTAACAGCTGCGGCTGCAGGGCAAACAAATTGGCGGCAGTTACTCCGGTCATGTCCATTATTTCAATGTAGCCACTGACATTTGCGTTGTCGTCCTCCAGCATCATGATCTCACCAAACATGGAGCCCACTCGAATGATATCCTGGAATTTGAACTTCTGCGTGTCATAGGAACCCGTGCGTATAATGGTTACCGCCGGACCCGTATCGTCCGCGTCCAAAGGAATGCGTAGAATGACGCTTCAAAGAAAATACTTTATTCGGGAATGATATGGAGGCTTCTCTATTGAGCATACCCCATACGAATAATCTCCAGCACCTGGGCATCATCGGCCAAACGATGCTCATTGAAGACCTCGGGAATTGCCGCCTGCAGCGTGTAGTAGCGATCAATCTTGTGCTTGGCCTTCTCCAAACTGAACTTGCTGCCCCGCAGGAAACCCAGCAGGAACTGATCCGTGAGGCAGGAGCAGAGATGCGGCTGCTTCTGCAGCCACTCCCGTAAGGCCGCAATATCTGATGCAACACGAGCCGGCACCTCATTCAGCTCCTCGATGGCAATCTGCTGAAGACCTGGAGGCAACGGACGTATTCCGGCGGATAATTGGCTGTTGTTCATGGTGATTGTATGCATACTGGCCAATCGATGGACTATAAATTGTCCATAGTGCACTTTAAGCAGGTAAACTCTATTGTTTCAATGCGATAAGAAACATACTCAAGCATTCAGGCTAATCTGTCAAGCGATTAGTTCTCGCTTAGGATCGATTCGTTTTTGAGATATTTATGGGTCTATGTTATATGTGGGTATGTAGCTATTGTAGATATTTACAAATTTCTATTTTAAATAGCAATTAATCTTGTTGAATTTTCCAAAACAGTTAAACAGTTAAAACACTTCCTAGTGACAGTTAAAATGTTGTATACGGCTAAATTTAAGTATTGGCCATTTGTAACAACATATGGGTTAACAATGCTTAGCTTTTTGAATGTTGATTAACAGGAGCAATAAAATGCGTCAATTTCTGTTAGAGGTGAACGAGTTGCTTGAAATAAATATATGTTAGATAGAAATATCTATACAAACTGCTTGTGACTTAAAAAAGCACTCAACGTGATTAAAGATACTTTTTTTTTTAAATTTAAATCTATAAAACAATATAAATGCTATGCGGTACCAGGATATTTTTAACACATGTGACTCGTTACTGTACATGGCACCAGCCCACACGTACATAACTATCGCTCATCTCTAGCGGGTAGCAACAACACTGTAAGTTAACAGCACCCCATAGTAAGTTAACAGCGCCTTTCAGCAGACGCACTATTAATACAAATAGAATAAATAAAATATCAAAATTAAAAAGCGCTAATTTGGTCAAACAGCTAGCGCGCGTTTTTAAATACATTTAACATATCTAAATTAAGTTAAACACAACGGTCTCCGCGATACCACTTGTGACTTAAACGCGTTTTCAAATCTGCAATTTCGATACGTAAATTGCATTGCAATTCCATACGGCTGCGGCTTGGTTAAAACAAAATAAAAAAAAAAAAACATAAAAACAATGTAAGTTGTGCAAAGAAAAACCTCAAATAGAAAGCGAGAGAAAGGGCCAAATGATGGCGGGCGCAGTTAAATAAAGGCCAACCCAAAGGGTGCTGCAAATGCCACATGCAGCAGCAGCCCGGTGGGTGGCATTCGCCCTGTGGGCGGTTGGGTCATGCGACCCCCTTCAAGGGCACCAAAGCCGCTGCAAGGTGTCGTAAGTGCCGCGAGTTGTGTGATTGTCATTCTACAATTCAGCGAAATTAAAGGCTTAAATGCGTTGTTTTGGTTCTGTGATTCATCATAGTCAATCATCTTATTGACGTAATGTGCATACTCAAATTAAGCTAAACTATTCTTTTTTGCATGTTTGTATGTGTGTGTGTTTCATTTCAGTTAACGTATTTCCCATAAAGAATAAAGAGTCAAGATGCAAAACAATCCCAGTCCACAGCTGCCATGCAAGGGCATTTTAAAGACTTCGCGCAGCTTTGACAAGTCGGGTGCCAGGTAAGCGCAATCAACTTTGACCTTTTGATTAAACAAAGGCTAACCACTAGATTCATTTTCGCAGTTTTCGCAAAAGTGCCAAGTTTGATGAGCTGAATGTGATGCAAACATTTCATCCAGCCGATAAGGATTACGGGCATATGAAAATCGATGAACCGAAAACACCTTTTAACTACACGGAGCCATTTAATGAGAACAGAGACGAGCTGGACACCGAACTGCTGGTTGAGAAGTATAAATCACTTTTGCCTTAGCCCTAGCGCCAGCAAGCTAAGCTCATGCTTTTTTTATTTCCAATATAGATTACGAATTGCGGCCAGCACACAACAGTCTTCCCAAAGCATTGATGATGAAGGTTCTTCCGGCGATGATCAACCCATTAGCGAAGAGGAGCGACGTAAGCTCATAATCATCATACATCATTTAAATTTTTGATTTTGTGTGTTGTGTCTCATGTTGCAGAACGACGCCGTGAATTCGAGCGGCGTCGCAAGGCGCATTATCGTGAATTTGAGGCGGTCAAATTGGCCCGCAAGCTAATACAGGAAGAGGACGACGATGAAGATGATGGTAATGACGCAGCTGCTGCTTCGGGGTCAGCACCAGGCGTTGCCTCCAGTTCCAGCACTTATGCCAGCGGCTCGAAACAAAAGTCAAGTCCGAAAACAACAACATCCACGACCACCAGTGCGACCAGCAACAGCAGCATCATGGACCTGGAGCCGTCTCACAATTAAAAGCAATATGCAACACAATATTTACAGGGTTCTAACTGACGTTGTTCGTTGATGTTGATGTTAATGTTGTCCGCGTAGGCGGCTCATCCGTAACTTAATTTATTGCTACTAAATGCTGTCGTAATGAATTCAATTTATATATACATTTACCTAGCGTAAAACAGGTAAAAGTACGTATATTTCAAATAGCATCCGGCGCAAAATGTGCTTTCCATCAATGAAGTATGATACAAATCTATTGAAATTGTAGCTGCGAGATATTTTACAACCAAGTGCACATTATAAACTAATATACGAGTAAATATAAAAATTTGTAGCGTTATGTCTAGTTAATGCTTATTTGATCTGATCTTCTCCAATTGAATAACGAAACTGAACTCTCAGCCCAACCTCCAAACAAAAAGCATTCATTTGCATTTAATTTTCAATAAGTGGAAATTTAATTTCTAAACTCACACAAACACACACACACAAAAGTGCCACAACAAAAAGTAAATTTAATCAAGAAGTAAGCCTAACGAGAGAAATTCCAGGAAGAAAAAGCGCATTGGAAACACGCTGTATTTGAAGTTGAGTATGAAATTGATTTGGCCTTACTTTTAGTTATTTATTAAAACCAATATGTACTATAACGATATAACTATTATAATAACAATTACGATTATCATTGTGAATATAATAGTTTTTAGCAATGCAATACAAAAGTTTCAATAAAGAGCAATGTAAAAACCTTTGTATAAACCACAAGGCACACCTATCATCCAATATGAGAACAAGAAAACACAAATGCCGCACTTCTCTCGTCGCGAGTATTCAAAAACTAGCCATTTATTTGATTTAAGTGTTCATAGCTCTCAATGTTATACAACAAATTGTAAACATAACGTCAATTCATTTCATTTGTTCGTCATATTTTGGTTTCTTTTGTTTTGTTTTGTTTGTTTTAGGTAAGTCAGAGTGTTGGGTTTCATCTAGGCGGCACCTCAGGGCGCGCACAAAGCTCAGATCTCCCCGCTTGTGCAGCAGGCAAAGGCATCCTCATATTATTGCCTGCCGGCAAGAAGCGAGCTGGTATGCGGCCCTGTCCGTGTCGCCCAGAGACAATTACATATTTGATTTGATTGTGATTTTGACATTTGATAAACTCACTGAATTGCCATATCATATCATGCTTGGCACATAACTTACTTAACGGACCATTGACATTTTTTTTATAATATGCTCGTTAACAATATAATCGTAAATAAACATATATATCTGTGTAGATATAGAACAAAATATAGACAAAAAAAATCATGCAAACTCAAACTATTTTAACAATTGCGACGCACTGCGAGGCAGCGCCTAGAAATCCAACCCTAAGCGGGCCCAGACTCTAGAACATATATGTGGGCTCTATCGATTCCATTTACAGTAAACTAACCCAAATATATTGTCTTAAGCATGGGTGCAATGGGCGTGTTACTAGGCGTGGCTGCCCGCACGGTCTATAAAGTAAAACATTGCGATAAGTATATATGTATATAATAGATTGCTAGATATGTTAGTTCGTTTTTTTTTTGTTTTGTTTTTGTGTTTTTAAAATGTATAAGCATTACAAGGTTTCATTTTCCATATCATATCCATTTCATTTGCTAGGTCTCGTTGTTGCTAGTAGTATCATATTAATTCTCAACTTAAACATAATTGGCAAACATAAAGGCATACTTCATAAGTATTTGTATCTATGTTATGCATATGCTCCAATATGCTATGCAGCATACAAAAATAAAATCCTATTCTCTTTCACATACAGCGTCCCATATATCATACGAAATATGAGCTCTGAAGTGTTTATAGAAGTTTAGAAGGCGTACTTCGTACCCTGATAATCGTTTCGTTTGGCATAATTATATAAATAATGATAAATAGATAGATACGTATATAAAGTTGCTGTGTTAGTAACGTTTAAAATTAGTATAACAATATACATATATAGTTTTTATAGTATATAGTTTGATTCGTTAGTCGTCGTTTTAGTAACATATACATAGTCGTTTGTTTTTTTTTTTTATTATTATTATATGAAGTGGGTTCCATTGATCAAATTTTCCATTGCTTTTTGAGCTGTTGATGCTCCTTCCTTATCTAGCCACAATTTGAGCAGTTGCTTAAATTCCAAACATGTGCTGGGTGCCTGGTGGCACCTTGTAGCTGGGATAGCCGTTGTTCAGTTGGTGCTTGGCAAAGAAGGAAGTGTAGTCCTGTCAATGAAAGGCAATATAACCGGATTATATAAAGGGGTCTTAAGTGCGGAAAGCTTTGCTTCGAATTGGGATTCAGACCAGAGATCATTTTTTATGTTTTTAAATTTAACTGAATTTAAGAGAAATTATCTTTAAGGCGCCCTACATACACGATTGACTCTTCGGGGACGGCAAACGGGGCCCAACGCCAACAGGCGACGTTCCTCGTTTTCGCGTACAGCAGCCTCCTTGTACTCCGGTGGTGGCCATTTCAAATCTCCGCGCAATTTGCTGCCTCCTGCAATCAAATTCAATCAGTTGGCAATTGTAAATCCGCGCCAGCTGTTGCTGCTGTAGCTGCGCTCACCCTGATAGCTGACGGCGGCTGGCTGCGAAGTGTAAACTGGCGCTGGCTTCTGTGAGACGGGCGCCTCCTTGCGCAGCGTTATGATGCCAGGACTGGCGCCACGATAGCCGTGCTGCAGATCAGTCTGATCCTGCGAGTAGGGCAGCTGCTGTTGCTGCTGCAGTGGCTGTTGCTGCTGCTGTTGCTGCTGCTGTTGCTGCTGCTGAGGCTGCGAATAAGAATTGTATTGTGGTTGAGCATAGTTAGTGCCACCATTTTGCTGTGGATAATTTTGTGGTTGTTGTTGTTGTTGTTGTGGCTGTTGATAAGCCGACGTCTGGTATGGAGCCTGATATTGCTGCTGTGTCTGTGGCAGCGGCTGCTGCTGCGGCTGCTGCTGCTGTTGCCAGTGCGGCGGAGCTGTCGGCTGCTGTTGCTGCTGCTGCTGTTGTGGGTATTGCTGCTGATAGTTGTCGTAGGCCGGCGCACCATATTGTTGCTGTGGTTGCTGCTGTTGATTGTCGTTGTGGTTGTGTTGATGGTGCAAGACATGCGAGTCATGGAATTTCAGATTCAGGTGCCAATAGAGGCAGGTTATGGATGTGTTGGTGGTTGGTGGGTGCGAGTGCAACAGTTAAACAGATACAGTAACAGATACGCATACAGATACGAACAGATATGTGGGAGTAAAGAGATAAGAGAGACAATTATACAGTTACAGGTATATAGAGAACAGAATCGGAAAATTAAGCTAGTGGCTGGGCGTGGAAGGGGTTTTTCTTTGTTGTCAGTAATTCAATTAATTCAGCATTAGCAGCAGTTCGCAGTTTACAGCTGAAATTTGCCTATGCAAATATACTATATAAGCAGAGCAGAGAAGAGAAAGAGATAGAGAGAGAAAGCGTGAGTGAGAGAATGTGAGAACTTTGGTTAATGTCAACTAAATGTGACAGCTACAATGTATGCATAGTTGGATACAGGTGTAAGGGTATATATACAGCGTTGGGATATGGCCTAGTTTTGCGCTAGGGTTGCGGTTTACACGTGCCGCACTCTACCTGAACTGACAATCAAAAAATCAAATAAGAGAATTTCAAAAAACAAAAAAAAAAACAAACAACAAATATTTAAATAGGTGCTCACGAACCTCCAAAAATAAACATAAACATATTATAAATACACTTTTCACTTCGCGTAATAATAATATAAACAATTCGTCAGTTCGTGCATCTGCGGCGCGTATAAACGTATTTTAAGACTACTTATTAGTCGGGTTAGTGCCTAGAAGGGGATTCTCAACTTTGTGTAGATAGACAGCAGCAGCAAAAGTTTCTTGCAACGGGGGCCAATGCCAAAGCCAGGCTATAAATCCATTCAGCCAAACGCTACCTGTTGTAGATAATGTTGTTGTTGATATTGTTGCTGTTGTAGTTGCTGCTGCTGTTGCTGATAGGGCGCATAGGCAGTTGCGGGTGCAACGCCTCCAGCATTGAAGTCGCTGTGTGTCTTGGGCGCTGGAGCGCCTATATGCTTCCAACCGGCACCCGCATTGTCTACGGCATGAATGGGTGGCTGCTGTTGCTGTTGGTAAGTCGGCTGGTATTGCTGCTGCTGCTGCGGCGGCAACTGTCGCTGTTGTTGCTGTGGGTAGGAGGCAGCAGGTGCCTGCACAGGCTCCCTCGAGGGTTGTCTATTGAACTGAGCCTGTGTGTATTGGACGGGTTGTTGTGGATAGTTATAGTTATTAGCTGGGGCTTGGGCAGCAGGTGCTGCAGCAACTGTTGCTGGTGCGTAACCGTTTGACGCATAGTTAGTGGTTGGGCCATATACATTTTGGGCGGGTTGCTGGTAATGTTGTGGCTGTTGTGGTTGTTGTGGTTGTTGGTGCTGTTGAGGCTGGGTTCGAGGCTGAACGTTGTTATAAATGGGACCCTGCAAGTTGGCAGTGGGTATTCCTTGTTAGTGGGTGTGTGGGTGAATGTATGTGTGCGTTTGTGTGCTTAGGGAGTATGCATTGTATTTACAAATGTGCCTCACCAGATACCCAATGACAGTTGCAGATTGAGTAACAATTATATTTACAATTTACACAGTATGTACAAAAGTCAAGTTGATAAACTAATTAAGTATTTGCGTATATTTATATATATATACAATCAAGGGTCTGATTAGGGCTGGTTGCTTGGCTGGCACAATTACCTGAGCTGGAGCAGCACTGGACACTGGCTGGCCGGCAGACTGTGGATAGTATCCACCGCTGCCCGGCGCCGGGCTCTGTGTCGGCGGCTGTGGTGTAAACTCACGCACGATGCGCTCCTCAGAGGCTGGTGGCCAGGCGACACGTTTGTAACCTGCAACGGAAATTTGGGGAGCGGGGGGTGGAGATTGCGGCCAGAGAATGCATTAAAAACTGTGCTTTGCAAAATATGCATGCATAATAAGTATGTGTGTGTGTGTGGGTGTGTGTGTGTTGTCGCCAGCAAATAATACAACAAAATGCGGCCAACACGCGCGCAGACGTGGGCGTCTTTGGCCTTGGGGCGAATATTAAAGATACTCAGATGCAAGACAAACAATTTGAAAATGATTTAAGACAATTAAAAGTGTACAATTCAGCAAATGAAACATATTTCAGACAACTGAAGAGTGCGAGACTTTTCGAATTTCAAATTGCAAATCATACGCCGTTGTCATTGTATCTAAATTTAGCTGACGATTCAAAAACAGAAGAATTTGCAACCGCAGCAACAGCAACAACAGCAACAACAGCAACAACAATGCTGATGATGACAGCATTGACAGCTACGTGCAACATGTTGCCGCTGTTGCTGACGTCTGTTGCTGCTGCTGCTGCTGCTGCGGCAGCAACAATTGCCAACGCCCGTTGTCAGTCAAGTTTAATGAAAATTCTTATCAATATTGAACAAAATTTACCCTCCATATTCTTGTAGTTTTGGTTTATCAGTCTCCACTGTGCGCCCATTGTGTGTGCTTTTCCTTTCTTGAAAATGTTCTTATGAATTTTTCTTTAGATACTGGCTACTTATTTATGATCGAGCGCCGTGCGTAAAAATAAATTTTGATATTTTCTTAGGTTTTCTTATTTTTTATGATTTTGTTTTTGGGTATAAAATAACAGCGTGTCTCTGTGTGTGTGTGAGTCTCTCTGTGTGTGTGTATGTGGCGCTGAGTGTGCGTGAGTTTTCACACAATAATTATGATAATATTCTTATATACACAAACACACACACACAGACAACAACAATAGGAGCGTTACGTAATGCGAATTTAATTAATTGATCGTTGAAATATTGAAGGTTGTCAAAGATAGAATTGTTTAGTTGGGACCACACCACAAATAATTCGTTGGTTAAAAAAATATTATATGCAAATTAATTGGCAGCAACAATTTTTGCTGGGGCGCGTTTCGTTAATTTTTGTTATTATTATTATTTTTTTTTTTTAGTTGTTTTCGTCGAATCTCGATATTGATCGTTGATAAATTTAAAAATCAATTCAATTAAATATCTATTTCTATTTCTATTGCTAATTCGTTCGCGTTGGCCGCGCGATATCTTTGTGCCTTCGATGTATGCTACTAAGTGTGGAGGTGCCCGCGAGATGCTCAGGAAATTATTCAACAGATCCGAAAGCTAATCCATAATGGTATGGGTGTTTGCACACAGATAGACCGCGAGAGAGAAAGTGTGTGGGAGAGAAAGAGAGAGAGAGGGGGGTTGGGGGCAGGGCAAGTATGTTTTTCGCAAAAGAAAATTACTGAAAATCGAGGCGCGCTAAATACGTGCAAATTAAATTGCTGTTAATGATGCTTCGGCCCGAAGGCAACCGCTGTCCCCCCGACGCGTCCCCCGCCCACTGGCTGCTCCTGAAGTGCTGCGTCTGCATTGTTTACACCTTCGATTTATGATTTGTGCCGCACCTTGAAATGCTGCACGGTCCAAGGCACACAGGCACAAATACACAGGTATATATTCGCAGATAGATATTTTGCATATTTTTTTCTTTTTGCTTGTTCTGTTTAATTATATAAATCGGTTTGCAATACGCACAGCCATATGCCATCATATTATAGATGATAGGATTGTAAATCATATCGGATCACATCGGACCTGGGCCTGGGCCAACCATAAGTACTTGACATTATGGCTAATGCTTCGTTTGGCAAATCAAGTGGGCGGGCAACTGTGTTCAACTTGTCGCCAAATCCATTGCGCTTAGTCTGTTTGTCAGTTTGTCTGTGACTCAAGTGTCTGAGGCTATATAGCTCATTGGGTCTAGAGCTATTCCCGATTCTAGGGGTTGGGCCGATGACTAGTTTGTGGCTAAAATTAAACGACTGTCGCTTTGGGCTAACAATAAGCTAAAATAAATCTGTTTTTAAACGTATTCTCACAGGTGTACAACAAATGTTGGCTCATTAAAATTATTAGCAATCTTGTAGAAATATATATATATACATATAAATCTATAGACGATCCACAATGTAAGACATTGAATAAGTATAAACAAATAGGTGTCTATACGCTTGTTAAACATGCTTATGCACATTAAATATGTTTTTGACGTCTGCCAGAAATCAGAGATAAATCAAAATCTGAGGAACAAGTAGGTTTCGGCTAGATGCAAGCCAATAAATATTGCATGAGTGTCAGATCTATATAGTTATTTTGTTGAATTCCCATTAAAACGATCTGATTGTCTGTCTAACTTATAAAGATAATATAATTTATATAATTTCAATATCCACTGATGCGCTTGTGCTCTTCGGTGAGGTTTCTATGACCTAGTCTGTTTCTTGAAAGCACCTGGCGAAATATTTGAAATTTGTCATTTTACTTGAACATTTTTTTCTATCTTCGTTCTGCTGTCAATTTTGAGCTGTCCTATAAATAACAATGAATAATTAGTTATCTACGCTAGAACTGGGTGCAAGCTAAGGAATTTTAAACATCGAAAACATTTACTTTGTAGTGCCTGCGATGATTTTTAGAAATGGCAAGCGATGGACCTAAATACATATATCAAGTATTTTCTTTTGAACTCATAAGGCCCAGCATATAAAAGCTATGCCACGTGAGTTTCGCGATTCAGTTCCTAGAAACCTCCTCTCGCGTCTTTCAAAATAACATATTTGGTTGACTTAGCTTTGATTCTTGAAGTTATAAGAGAATGAAAACTTCAAAGTATGGGACTCATAGAAGAAGAAGTACACCCGCGTGTGCTGAGTCGGAATGTACATATATCTATAAGTAGGGACAAATTGTTACTGGTATCTCCACACTCTTTAAAAAGGTTTCCCAAGTTGTCGATTACCATATAAGATCACCTTCTAGAACCAAGTTGCATTAGAAACTCTTCACATAAACACATTTACGTGCGGGTTGGGACACAAATCGGAGGAGCATCATGCCACAAACACAATGACAGCACAAGGATTTGCAACGCACCTTCAATGCCTATATAGGGGCGTGGCGACACATTATCGAAGGATCGATTGAGGCTGAATTCGCGCAGGCGCTCCTCGCTGCCCGCCAGCGACTTAAAGCTCTGTTCCTGTGCGCCCAGACCATGTTGCAGGAGGAACTCAAAGGGCGGCGGCTGTGAGTTGCAGCGGGGCGTGGTCGGTGGTGTGGCCGCCAGCAAAGAGGATGAGGCGGACATGGACAGCTGCAGCGGCTCGGTGGCGGTGCTCACCAGCAGCCCAATATTGTGTCCCTCCAGCTGAGATACATGCGTGTATTTCGCCTCCATGGGCGTGGGCGAGGGCGCGGTCGAGCTTTTCGTCTGCACAGCATTCAGGCCAAAGGGCGAGATGCAACGCTGCGCGGTGTCAATCAGCGGCGCCGGATACCTGCGATACGGCAGTGGACTGGGCGATCTGCTGACCCGCCACTCCTTGGATTCGGCTGGGGCAACTGTTGCTACTGGCGTGGTCACAATCTCGACCACGCTGCGCTGACGCTGCAGCTGCTCCTTGGGTTCCCGCTCCCGCGGCTGCTGCTGCTGCTGTGTGTCCTCCCAGGAGATTTGGCGCGACACGTAGGGACTGCGTATTTCGTAGGTGGATTTGTAATTGGCCAGCGGCTCATTCTGCAGATTATCGAAGCGCCACTGATCGGCCTTGGTGAGCTTGCCCCAGCCGTGTGGTGAGGCGCGACACTCGCCACAAATGGCGCACCAGCCGCCGCCCAGGATGTCCTCAGTTGCTGTCGGCTCGTGCGGGCAGCCTGGAGTGGCCGTCTGCTCAGCTTCCGCCTCCGACTGCTGCTCCTTTAACTTCTTCTCCGGCTGTACAATTGCCTGCTGCTGCTGCTCCTTTAGCTGCTCCTTTCCCTCCCCCAGCTCCTCCTTCTCTTTTATTGATTTCTGTGCAATTGATTCCTGCTGCTCCTGGTGCTTAGCAGTGTCCAGTTGATTTATGGGGCTTTGTTTGTCTTGTTTGTCTGTGCCCAGCGGCAGCTCCTGGCGTTGCGTTGTGGCTGCTGCCTTGCCCGTCGACAGCTGCTCATAGTTAGCAATTACATCCGACACATGTCTGTAGTCCAAGCTTACGTCTTCCTCCTCTGCGGTTGCTGTCGTGTCCTGCTGCTGCTGCTGCTGCTCTTCTTCCTCCGCGATGACTACGTGCTGCGCCTTGGCCGCTGTCGGCGTCGTCTTGTGCTCTACGTGCAGCAGCGCGTGCTCATCGCTGTCCAGTGCAATGGCAATCTTGTGCAGATCCTCCAGTGCGCGCTCCACAATTGGCACGTTCTCTGTGGGCATGACGGGCTGCAGGTGCATATCCGGCATGACCTGCTCCTTGGGCAGTAGCTGTATACCAGCTGCGCGGCAGTAAATTTGTCGCAGTATCGCCTGCAGTGGACTTTCCACGGCCAGAATGGGCGATTGCCGTGAGGCAAACATATCCCAGAGCTCATTGTTGTTGTGGTTGCCGCTGCTCAGTGGCTTCGCTGCTGCTATTGCTGGTGGTGGCTCCGTAGGCATGGCCGTGGGCGTGGGCGTGGGCTGCACTGTGCGCTGCAAGGCAGTCTTGGCATTCTCCATGTACGCATCAATCTGACGCAGATGCTCCGTGATAGACTGCTGGATGTGCGCGTACTTCGCCTCGAGCTGGGCAATCTCCACATGCGCCTCATGCTGTTTGGCCAGGGCTGGCAGGGTCTCTAGATTGCTGTCATAGATGCCGCCCTGACGATGCGCCTGCATATCCTTCGCCTCCTGCCGCGTCTTGGCGCGCAGCTGCAGCAGCGGCGGCGGCGGCGGCAGCGGAGGTGGCGTCGGTATACAGCTCTGATGGCTGCCCTGTGGCTTCAATCTGGGCGCACTGTCCTGGCGCTGCAGCTTGATGCCTTTGGTGGCACTCACATATGTGGCCGGGAGCGAGGCATCCTCTGTGTTGGTGGGCGGCGTCATGTTCAGCTGCTGCTGCTGATGTTGTTGCTGATCCTGATGCAGATAGCTGCAGGCGTCGTCGTAGATTTGCTGCACACTGCCCAACAGCTGTCCAGGATGGGCTGAGCGCGACGTCTCAGCGGTGACTGTGACTGGGATAATGCGACCGCCGCTCGACTGGGCATCGAATGCCGCCGTGGCCAGGGCCACCGCCATCTGCTGCTGCTGCTTAAGTGCCAGGCTGTCAATTACCGTCGCGGCTTTTATTGGCAAGCTTTTGGTCATCAGCTTGGCCGTGTCAGCAGCTGCTGCGGCTGCTGAGGCCGCAGCTGTGGCTGCCTTTTCACTGGGCGTCGCTGGCAGCGGCAACGTTTCCAAATCGATGTCAACAGCGGCCTTGGGCTCCTCCTCGCTGTCGCCATCGTTGGCTGTGTCCGTGTCGTAGCTGATTTTCAGCTCGGTGGCCAGCTTGATGCTGCGACGCTGCACTTTCGGTGTTCCATTCCCGCTGCCACTCCCATTCCGAGGCTTGAGTGGTGGCAGCTCCGTGCCACCGCCCAGGGCCACGGCCCGTTTGCGGGCTCGTCCCCGATCCAGGGAATATGATTGACGCTTCAGTCGTGGCCGGTAATTGTTGCTTGGTTTCAGTGTGGGCGTGGTCGTGCGTTTGTTCGTCAACTGTTCGTAGTACTCGCACTTGGGCGCCACCAGGCCAATGTCCGAGTCCGCGGCCTTGGTCTCGGGCGCCGAGAAGCCCTTGGCCTTGGGCGTCTGCCGGCAGCTGCTGCCCAGTGGCTCATCTGGCGGCTTGGGTGTGGGTGGCGGGGTGATGCGTAGTTTTTGTTGCTTTGGGCTGGCGCTCCTCTCCAGCTGGAGACGCTGCTGGCGCACCTCTCGTGGCGACGGCTCCACAATGCGCGTGGGACTGTTGAATTTCTCGCGCAGCACATCGATGCTGTGCGTCGGCGAGGGCGTGACGCTGTGGGCTGCAGCTATGCCCGCCGCCTCCTGCTCCACGGGCGGCCAGCTGTGATCGCGCCTGAGCAGATGCCGGCGCGTGGTGGACATGCGATTGATGCGCAGCACCGTGTCCCGATCGATGACAACATCATGCTGATGGCTTAGATACTGTGTCTTGATCTGATCCAGCAGCTGCTGATGCAGCGCATGATGCGGCGGGTCCACCGGCGAATTGGGGCCCTCCACATCGCGCTGTCGCGTGCGACTTTGCCTCGGACGAGCATAAATGTCGCCTGCGATGGGTACGCGGGTTTGGGTTTTGATTCATATTCAAATAAATAATATTTGCACAACAACAAACATTTCACGGGCACGAGCATTTTGTTTGTTTGTTTGTTGAATGTTGCACAAGGTTTCTCTATGTTGTTGTTCGTGTTTGGAAAAACAGCACACACATTCACACACACACACATATATATATATATATATATACATAGAAGCAAACAAATGGCACTTACCGCATTTGATTTGTTGCTCCTCCTCCTCGACAGCGCGCAGAACGGCCGAGTTGGCCAAGTTCAGGGGTTTTGTGATTTGATCGTCGATTTCAATCCTGAAAAGTTAATTGAAAAAAATTAATAAATTATTTCAATCAATTAAAGTTAATAAAAATGTTAATTTTTTAAATTCAAAGTCTAATTTTGTTATGGTTTAAATTAATTTAGAACAAAGTTTTGCTTAATTTAACCCAAATATCTAGTCAAAGTACACAAAATTCTAGCAAGATTATATTTATATTGCACACAGCTCATCTGATAAGATTTCAAGACCCCTAGATCGAGGTGACGCTTGAAGAGATAAGCAAAATATGAATACAACCCGTAAAATAGTATATATATTTATACGCATTCCCCGAGTTTGCAGTTGGCTATTTTCAAATTGCATAATTTAATAATAATATTTTTGTTTGTACTGCAAAATTAATCAAGAGGAAACGAGCTTCGCAGAAAAGTGCTAATTGCCGAATTTCAGGGCATAAACTACAATGAGCTTTTGCTGTATGTTTTTTTTGCAGTTAAAATTCTTAAACTTAAACATAAACAGCCTCCAGCTGGCACTTAGCGCCGATACTTGGGTGCTATAAGTAGTTCTCACTATATATCTAAAATATTTATGTCAATGTGTAAAAATAGAAACGTTGCTGTCATTACAGTTAAGCAGCAACTGGCGTACAGTTTGAGTAGAGCTCGTAAACACTGCTTGCTATGCCCAGTGTGTTTTTGCACTGCTTTGTCGGTAGTCAGTACAAGCTGTATACAAAAATAAAACGTTTTCGCGCGCTGTGAACCGCTTAACTGCGCGATTGGACGAATCATTTCAACAAGACCGTGTGGCCTAATGGATAAGGCGTCGGACTTCGGATCCGAAGATTGCAGGTTCGAGTCCTGTCACGGTCGAGGATAATTAACTTTTTTATATATTTTTTTTAATTTAAATATTTTTGTTGCTGTTTATACTCTGGACTTTGTTTTGGTATTTTACGTCTTTTGTATTCTAATTATATATTTTGCTCGAAGACGCATTTCGTCTTGGGCATAAATTAATACGGCCACTGAGAAGACGTCTAGCTAAACCACCCAGTGCCCTAGTATTTGGATTTTGCATGCGGCGCAGCCCACATTGACCCAGAACCCGGTGACCAGGTTAACTTAATCGACACTGACAAGCGAACGCAACCGTCAACTGATATAAAAGCCTTAGCCATGCCGTGGAACTGCATCACATCTTGTGTGGCATCTAACCAGGCACAATATCCAGCATCGATAAAATTCCAGCAGCACAAAATGGCGAAAACCATACAAATCTTCTTGCTGCCGCTAATGTTGCTGTTGCTGATGGGATTTTACAGCGCCAAAGCCGCGAACAGCTATAAGGTTTGTGGTTCGGAACTGACCGAAGCACTTTACATAGTCTGCAAGGGCAAATTCGGCTCCTTTCAACACCACAAACGCGGCTCGTGTAGGTATCTCATACTCTAGCTGTGGTTGCAGCTGCGCCTGCCTGTAACTGCAACTGCTGCTGCTTCTGCTGATTGGCTTTGATTCGAACAGCAATTTGCATTAACGCATTTCTGCATTGCAGTGGATCTCTTTGACTATGTGGACCAGCAGTACGAGACGAACGATGTGGAGGACAGGGATACGCTCTGGGGATTGCCGCCAAGGAGTCAGAATTCCCTGGTGGCCACCAGGCGGCTAATGCGCGGCGTTGTCGATGAATGTTGCCGCAAGCCCTGCACGAGATTGGAAATGTTACAGTATTGCGGAAACTAAACCTGAATTGCCAAAAGTAAACACTCATGTATTCCAACTCCAGTTTGTATTCCCCTATATATAATGTATATGCATGTATTCCTGTTAAAGCAAGTGTACAAAAACTGGTTCGCCTAATATAACGGAGGAAATAAATAACCTACAATGAAACCAGAAACAAAGAGCATTTCTTCCATCCAGCTAAATGCTCGCCATGCCAAATGTCGTTCTAGTAAAAAGATTTGGCAAATCTTTTCAATAAATATCTTGAGCTATGTCCCAGCTATGATTCAACTATTTTGTGCTCTTTTACAACTTTTGTTAGAGCTACATATTTTCATACTGGTTCGCCCTTTCTATTTGTGTTTCACTGTAGTTTTCAGGCATCCTACTGTGAGTCACACTTGCTATGGCAGCCAGTCAAAAGATGCATCACAACTTTTGGCTAGGCGCCTGCATTGTGTTTGTTGACATTGTTGTTGTTGCTACTAAATGCAACCCCCCCTCAACCTACCACCTGCTCGTGCCCCCTCCTAATTTGTGCGTGTGACTCATCGATCGTTTGAGAATTGTTTAGCACTTATATAAAGTTTGCAAAAGTATCTCGCAGCTGCGATTATTAACATACATTGTGAAAGGCCGCTGGAGATGGTCGCTGTTGTTGCTGCTGTTGTTGTTGTTGTTGCTGCTGGCAAGTGTTTTGGCCCAAACAGCAGCAAAACTTGATAACTTTTTGTGTGTGCACACGCGAACGCGTTTAAAGACTGTGTGTCTGTCCGTCTGTCTAACTGCGTTCGGTTTGTTTGCTTGGGGGCGCTTTAATTTTCACTTGCTTTGTAATTAAATTGTTAAAAAGATACTTTTGTTTTCTGCCTGCCGCCGCTGTTGCACACGTTTTGTCGCACGCATAGACACCGAATAACTGAAAAGCTACTTAGAGTGTGTGGCGCAGTTTAGGCCGGTTTATTTGAACAACAATTGCTAACAACAATGCCAGAGATAATATGTTGTTGTTGCCCATTTTGGCGGCGACAGCAGCAGCAGCAGCAGCAGCAGCAGCAGCAGCTACAATTTTCAAGTCCACAGCATCTTTGAGATACGCGCTGTTGCTGTTGTTGCTGTTGTTGTTGCTGCTACTTATGTGTAGCATTTGGTAATTACAATTAAAAGTCAAGCGGTTTTAATTGTGCGCTGCCTGTGTGTGTATCTATGTGTGAGATACAAATTGAAAGCAACTGCAACTACAAATCGCCAACAGTTGTCGCTGGCAGAGCTGCTGCTGCTTCTGCTGCTGCTGGCGTCGCAGTTGCCGTTGCCGTTGCGCTGCACTGCACAAAGTGCGCCTCGCAGCTGCGCTATATCATCCTCTATATATACTGGCGCGCGCACACACACACACATACATAGAATAATGTGCTTATATATACCCTGTACATTAATGTGTTCTCAGCCGTGCACCTGTGCAGCAGCCTCAGATACAAGATATAATGGCAATGACTGCCTATTTTTCTTTCTATGGAGGCTAACCTCATAATGGGGGCTAACTAAGGCCGACTTTTGCCCTTTTTAATTTATTATTATTATTTTTTTTTTTATTAACGGGCAGCCTTTCATCTTTCACTTTCGCCCAGTTTCTATGAAATTATGCATTTAAATGTGTTAGGGAATCATTTCGTTTAACTTACCCGTCGGCCCCGAAGGCCTTCAGCTCGCGATTCAGCGTGGCCTTAACGTTCTCCTGGGAGTAAAGGCCCATTGGTGAATTGAATTGCTTGTGCACAAGTTTCCGTTGTACGGCAGCCATTTTGCAGTAGTTGTTGCTCTTGTTGCTGTTGTTCAAGTTGTTGTTGCTGTTGTTCAAGTTGTTGTTGCTGTTGCTCGTGTTGTTTGGCTTGTCTTCACTTGAGCTTCTGTTGCTTCTTTTTCAGCTTGTTTATTCACTTGCTGCTGCTGCTGCTGCTTCTTCCTGCTATTTGTTGTCCGGCTTGTCTTCGAAAACTTTTAAATTATCGTTGATATAAAAAATATTTTAAAATTTCAGTTTAGCCTCGTGTTTTTGGAGCGCAAGTTTTAAGAGACTAGGCCGCTTAAAGGCTTAACAATTGTTGTCGCTTTTGATGTTGTTGCTGTTGCTATTGTTGTTGCGGCAATTCTAAACAATTTACCCTAGCTTCAATAAATCTGCATATGCCCGCTAGTAAGTAGCTTAATTTAAATCGTTAATCGTGGTTCGTTGTTCGTTCTGTAATTAAAATGTCAAATGCGAGATGCGTTAGTTAAATAAATAAATTGGCAATGTATTACATGTATGCGGGGTGCACACAATCTGATGAATTACTTATTATTTATGGCTGTCATACAGCTATATGATAACATATATGACTACAGCCGAATGCCATTTCCGGCTCATTAAGTTCCGCTTTTTACAATTTTAAATATTCATGTCATCTGCAACATGCACAAGTTGAACAAACCGAATCCCCGTTGACAACTTAATCCCCCATATTACGCATACTTATTGCTGTGCGAACGCCCTCAAGAATTCTGTTTTTATTTTCATATGATTTGATATGCATAATAAGTAAACTTCTTTAATCCTCTGTAAGCCTTTTAATTGTTATTGCTGTTTACTTTCATTTAATTTGCAACTTCCCTTTGGGCTGTGTCTCATTTCGGCTTTAATTCTGTTTGGAATTTTTAATATTCATCTCTGGCCAATTTATGATCACATATACATTAATTGAAACAAATTGTAGGACAATATATTTGTTTAAAACGTTGCTGAAAATCGCGCATAAAATTTAATAGAGCAAACAAAAAACCAAATTATTCAAATTCATTCAGAAAACAAACTTTGTTTAAAGTAAAAATCAAATATGGAAGCCATTATTCACATGCATATAAAATATATGCATAGAATGTGTATATATGTTCCAAATGTTGCTAATCAACAGCAAACGCTTCAATGTCAGCGCCTCATATAAAAATAAATATATATATATGTAGCTATATATAAAAAACATAAAATCCAATATAAATTTTTGTATATATCTATATATATATATATATATATATAGTTCTACTGGAAGCCTCATCAATCACATATGTATGTTGCATACATATCAATTATATGTGTATTAATTTCGAGTTATTTAAATTTTTGCTGGCGACACGAATCTTTTGTAATTATTAATCTCATTATTTGTGTCGTTTACAGCTGCTGCAAGCAAATTACAAAATATTATGAGATTTCGACAGTCGTTTTGTGTTTTTCTGGTTTCTGCCTTCCAATGCCTATCGAGACACTCACTACTGTCACATTTAAAAATGTATCTTAAACTAATTTGAGCAGCACTTTTTGGCTGCTGAAATATTATTATTTATATATGTTAAGTTTTGTTTTTCTTGTTGCTTCTGGGTTAAAAATAGAGGCGACAGCGTCGTTTATATTGAAATATGCTCAGTTTTTGCTATTCGACAATAATAATTTCCACACGCATACACAAATGCCTGAAATTCTCATTTTCTTAGTTTTAATTCTGCACTGTCTCCCTCTCTTTCTCACCGCCCCACACTGTCGCTCTCTCTCTCCCCCTCACTATTTTTCTCGTTCTCTCTCTCTCTCTCTCTCACTCGCTCTCAAGTACATTCCCGCCTTGTGTGTCACCTCAAATAAAATTAGCAACTTTGAGCAAATGGCATTATACAGATTTGCGTCATTTCTGCTGTCTGTCCGGCTGTCTGTCCGCTTGTATGTCCGGCTGTCCGTCTGTCCATGTGTCAGTTCTTCTGTGCATGTGTCGGCCAGCATAAGGAAATAGCAGACTGTTAACGAACATAATTCCAATTTCAATTCTTGTTGTGCTCATTGCTGCAGCTCAAATTGCTGCAGCTCAAAGGAAAATATATGAAAAAAATATATGTTGCAAAAGCGACATGCACAAACGACGCACGAGAGCGTGCTGAACTTTCAAATATCGTGTACCGAATGACATATATTGAAGTATCTTTAATATATTTGTAGTGTGTATGGAATAGTTCGACTACATAAAACGTTCGTTTAGGTATTACATTTTCCAGTTTAATGCCGTCGTTTAATCTGTTTAAGCTGTAAATTAACATAATTTTTCCATGTTAAAGTGAATTAGCATTTGCAGAGTTAATTCATTATGTTAGTGCTAGTCGAAGTAATTAGTTACTGGACATTATGAACAATTACTTTCCCATTAAGCATATATTGCCTTTAACTGAAAAGACCTGCACTGTAAACACTTTTATTAATTAATTATTAAGTTAAGATTTCTTTATGAAGAAAACTCTCCCTTTCCGTCAGCAACCGCTCTCTTAATGCGAGCCAAATGTAATTAAGTATTGATGGAAATCATCGAAGACACATTTCTGTTTGTTAATTAAATATAAATAAAAATTTATTCACATGATTGTCCGCCAGACTTTATTAAATGGTTGTTCTCAAGACACTTGAGTAGAGGCAATTTGTCTTTTAATTTGCAATAAATGTGCAACATTCCCGTCCATATACCTTATGTGCTTATTGAATGTAGGGCAAACAAAAAGTGGCAGCAAAATGCAGTGAAATGCAATAAAATGCTTAGCTCTCTGGCCAAAATACTTGAAATGACGTACGCTTTAGATACGTGTGTGTGTGTGTGCGCGTGTGTGTGTGTGTGTGTGTATGAATTTTATGTGTGTTCGTTGATTCGCAATTTGTGCGTTTTAATTGAGCTGAACGCAGCTGTGGCCTGCAGCTGTTCAAATGGCCAAGTTATGAGCTATTTTTGCATAAGTGTGTGTGCGCCCAAAAGCACGCAACACTTTTCACAACTTGCGGAAATTAATCAGAATTTAATAAAATATTATGAAAATCTCACAAAGTAGCAGCAGCAGCAGCAGCAGCAGCCACTACAATGCATATGCCGGCCACTTGATGTCCCAATTAAAGTTTTACACTTTCACACACACACACACACACACGCACACACACACACACACAAGGTGTACTTAGCAGGGTATTAAAGTGCGCATGAATTGTGCGAAAATTCGCATAAAAAATGCAGGCGCACAAAAAATATTGCTTCGAAAAAAGTTGCGAGCTGGATGCCTGTGTGCGCTGTGGGCGCTGTGGGCGTGGCCGCCCCCGCTGAGCAAATGCCGCCGCACGCACAACACGGCAGCTGCCAAAAGCAGTTGGTTGTGTTGGGGTGTGCGAGCATTTTTTGCTCGACTTTGGCTTCATGGAGTGTCAGAGTGTGTGTGTGTGTTGGTGTGTGTGTGTGTGTGTGTGTAGCCATAGAAACAATATACGAGAATTGCATTGAAATCAGGTGCAAATATTGTTGCATTTGCATTGGATCGCAACAATTTCGCAGAGCTATGTATTTATACACATATGTATCTGTATCTGTGGGTGTGTCTGTATCTGTATCTGTATATGTATCTGTATCTACAGCAGTGCGGTGTTGTGCTTAACGCTTGCCCAAATGCTTGCCAGGCATTTGCAGTTTGCTGTTTGATTTAATTATTAGAGAATGGCGCTGTGTTTGGTTTGTTTTTAGTTAAATTGCTTAAATATTTCATGGCACATATAATTTGTTTACACTTCGCTTTTTGCGCTCCCAGGCAGACCAAAATTTTAATTAATGCACATTATTCAGTTTGCTTATTTGCATATATGTGTGTAAATGTGTGTGTGTGTGTGTGTGTGAGTATCTGTGTGTGCACTTACCGTCTGTTGCAATTTGGCGCTGCTTAATCCAAAAATAATGCCACCAAATCGCTAAAGTTCGTTTTGTGTCCGTGCTGCAGCTTCCACGCCTTCCGACTACGCCTTAGCCTTTACCTTAGCAGTTGCATTTTCATGGGAAATATTAACACGCTATCGGAAAACTGGAGCACCCGGACATATTTGCGTGGCGGCCCGTATACGGCCACGTTTTTTCCGCGGCCGTTACGGCCAACCGGCGTTTTGTAAACGAACTGAACGGAACAATGCGGCGCAGAGCTCAACACGTCGCATGCGGCTCCGGCAGCGGCTGCGGCTGCGGCAGACGTTGCCGTTGCCGTTGTGGCTGCGGCAGCCGATTGTAGGTAAAGGAAAATAGAAATGAAAAACTTTACGCAATGATCATGCGTTTCGCTTTTCGCTTTCTCATCATTCTATAGTTTCACAGCAGTTTTCCCAGCAGCTGAACAAAGTTGTGTGCGTGAGTGTGCGTAGGGGAGCGATACTCGCACAGTCGCGTCCCCTCATAAAGTGCACGGCCATTCGAATGAAGACTGAGCAGTTGTTCAAAAGAAAACAATCACTACTTAAACATGTTTAAGCCGACTCTAATTTATAATGCTTTAGTAAGCTAATCCTTAAATTTGCCCTTATTTATTGCCATAGGATTAAGTGAATGGCCACCCCAAACTTATATCAGGCCTTTTTGTTTTAATGTAAATTATATATTATATTATACATAGCTATTCATTTTCTTTTTAATATAAAACAAAATTACGCAAACTTCAGAATTTGAAATTTATGACAGTGATTTTAGTTGAATAAAAGCTTTTGTCATGTGATTTTGAGTCTGCTTGAAACTTTTATGTCATATATCATATAGCCTTGTTTTAGGAAATTAAAATGAAAGCCCCCTCAATAAATCAGATAAAATTATTTTGGCTTGTTGTCAAAAACCGTCCGATGGATATTTCTAGATAAAACAGTCTGCCTACATATAGGGAAAGTAACTCAGGTATATTCTTCCTTCAGCCTCTTTGACTAATAGGTAGCATGTAGAGCTAATAAATTGATTTCTTTTCCCATCGATTTGCAGTGCAACTTGTGGCGTACGCTACTGTAGTTTTGCAATACACAGACACATATCCAAGTATATTTTTTGCCACTCTCTGCACAAACAACTACAACAACAACAACGACAAGAGCTAGAACAACACTCGAGACACTCAAAGTAGTTTTGGGAATAGCCCACAAAATAAATAAATACAAAACAAAAAAAAAGCACAAATGAAATATGAAAAGGAAAATATGTTTGAAGAAAAAAAAAGAAGCAATGAAGAAGCAGAACGTCAGTCCGTCGATGGACCCGAGGCAGAGATGCTGCATTCAGCGACAGTCAAAAGAAAGATGTATAGATACATATGTATCTATAGCTATAGTGTCTCTCTGTGTGTGCGTGTGCGTGTGTGTGTGTGTGTTGTGGCCTCGTGGACTATTACAGAATTTTTAGTGCTGCGCCTCGGCAGCTCCACGAGTAAAAGGAACACGTCTCAAATATTCTATTTTTGAGTTCAATTCTTTACTTTATTTATTTATTTATTTTTCATTCTTTGCTTTTTTGGGTCCACGTTCACGACGTTGATGTCAGCGCGACACAAATTTTTAAATCGTGTTTTTTTTCTATTGCAGCTCTGGCACAAATAGAATAAAAAACTCGTAAAATGTCATTTAATTGTTTTGCAGTCTGCTTTATATATATGTATTTTTTTTTTATCTATTTTTTATAATATTTGAGAATTTCTTTATGCAGTTTTCGTTTGTTTTTCATGATTTTTGCTTGAGTGGTTGGCCAATTTGTATTCAATTGCTAATTGCGCTTTAAATGCTAATTAGCTGTGTGGCCAATTTTATGGGTAACGTTTTTTTTTTTTTTAATATATATATATTTTATTATTTTTTGCATTTTCGTTTTCAATTTAATTAAATTTTGATTGCACACACGCGCATTGTGGTATCGTTGTCTCATATCATATAAATTTTGGCTTGTTGGCGACGTCAGGTTTTCACGTTCGCCCCACAATAACAATAACAGTGCACAAATGCACAATGCACTAGCACATACACACACTCGCACACACACACGCACGCTCGGCGCACACACACCTGCAATTGTGGCGCTGTGCACTGTCAGCGACTACGGCTACGACTACGGATTCTGACAGCCTGTTGGTTGAGGTGACCACGTTCGCGATGCGAATTATAATTGTTACTCGCTGCTCGCTTTTCCACCGTTCGTATTTTCATATGCCAACAACAGCAGCAGCAGAATCAGCAACAACAACAACAACAACAACAACATTTAACACTTGCCGCAAGTCGTTTCATCCAAAAAGTTCGCTAAAGCAGCGAAAAGTGGCTGCTGCTGCTGTTGCTGCTCTTGCGGTTTCATGGAAAATGGAAAGCTACGACACACACACACAAACACTTACACTAAGGCACTCAGACACACGCCAAGCTACAAGATTCAGATACAAAATATATCTACTTAGTACTTATACCTATAGTCCAATCGCCCACACACAAGCTTATAAATTCGCCTGTCGGCCTGGCTAATCGCGTATTTTGATACAACATCCACGTAAAGAGGCTGCACGAAGCAATAAATATTAGTCAGACACACACACACACACACACACACACAGTCATAGTCATCAGCTAATTAACTACACTATAACGAATCGCTATATGTATGTTACCTAGCGAAAACATGTATTCAAATGCGTTCTTTTTTAAATATTCAATATTTATTTTTGGCCTTTGGAGAGCAATTTTCATACTGATTTTTATACACTATCCGCAGCGTAAAGTTATAGCGAAAAATGAAATGCTCTGTAAACTATTCCCAATCAAATGTATTAAATTTGTGTAGTTATCTTCTAATTTGAGCTTGATCTGAAGCAGCTGCTCGACTTGCAACTTGCAAAGCTGAATCATTGTTAATGTGTAAATTGATACAAAATAGTCAAATTTTTGGCCACAACAAATTGGAATAAGCTAACCAAACTTGTTAGACTCCAATTTCGGGTAGAAATCAAATATAGCCCTCAACTTCATTATGAAAATATTTAAGACAGCAATATTTTCAGTAGAACGGGCAAATATATTTTGAATAATGCATTGTAATTTAACTAATAATATTAAATTTTAATTTGTCAAATTAATACTCAAATCAAAGTTCAAATTATTTGCAGACCTTTCGGTTTCTTGAAGCAAGGACAATGATTTCAAACAGAAATAATATTCCCATTAATTAGCAAGCTAATAATCAACAACAGACGGCTTGATTTTCCAGGGTATCTGCCACTCGAGCTAACTTGGTTTTTCTTTCCACCTCCCTCATCTCATATATTCAAGTTGTATGTGTTTTTATATTTTTGGAATTTTGTATTTTTGCTGTCCGTTGAGCGAATACAAGTTGTAATTGTTGTTGTTCTGGTTAAATGAAGCGGATTTCACACAAATAGAGATATATTTCGGGGTTTATGGGTTTTATGCAGTGCGGTCAAGCGCAGCAATTAGTGCATTCGAAATGCCTGATATACCTGTCCGAGCTGTCGGGGCGAGCGAAAGTGCGCTGCGAATTCATGGCTGGCACTCAATAGCATCATGTCAGGTGATCAATCCCACCAGCAGTGCCAGCCAGCGCAGAGAAAAGCTATTCACAGAGCACCTGACAGCCAACTAAGCTGCTTGAAATTTCATTTTAGTATTTCACGCTAGAAAGCCAGGCGAAAAAATATACAAAAAATCACATATATATGCTTAATGTTTGTGAATGATTAATGGGACATTAGAATTGAAATTGTTTTGCTCATGTGGCATCAGCATAAGCAGAACAAGAGGCCAAAGCAGCGGCTGTGCCAGGTGCAGCAGCAGAGGCAACGCCAGACTATACTTTGCCATAATGTACAAATATTTATATGCCTTTTTTTTCGCATGCCCAGTCGCAGTCTTTTAGCCGTTCCCAAGCTGCTTCCCGATCCCACTGCAAGTGGATGTGGCCTTTCATGAGCATATTGAGCACCTGGCAGCTACCTGCTGACAGAGCCATAGAGCCAAACAGGTGAGTGTTTATATATGCATGCCAAAGTGTGGAAGCTGAAATCTAGAGAAAATACATACAACAACAACAACACGGCAAACATACACGCACTCGCACACCACACATAAGCAGCATATAAACACTTATGGATATACTGTGTGCTTATTATCCATACTTAGAGTTAATGTATTCCTATACCTATTGCCCAAAAATTGGGTAACTGGGCTGTTTTTTCTACAGTAAGGGTAGAAGCAGAAGAAGACTTAGACAAAGTTTCTAAGTTGCTTCATTGCAACGTTGAGAATTGTTGCCGCTGCCACCGGCAAGCCATTATGATCATTATCATCATCATCAATATCATCATTATCATAATTATTATTACCATAATTATCATTATCTTAATGATCATTATCTGATATCATAATTATCATTATCATAATGATCATTATCTGATATCATAATTATCATTATCTTAATGATCATTATCATAATCATAATTATGATTGTCATAACTATCATTACACTACATACAAATATTTATACCTATATATATATATATATATATATATATATATATATATATATATACATACATCTACATACATATCTACTTATCTACATACCTGCCCACCTCGTCTTGGTCCACCGCCTCCTGGTCTACCGCCTCCTCCAGTTACTCCTCCACCGGCGGCTGGAGCCAACTGACTGACTTGTCGAATATCAGCAAGGCCTACTTGAATTCATGAGAATCGAGGAGGACAGCATTAAGAAATACGTTGCTTTTAAATTGAAGCGCAGCTGTAAGCAGGCGCAACTCAAGATCAGTAGGTTGCTTTTACACTTCTTATTAGAAAACTTCACTTATTGTTAAAGCATGAATACCCGTGATACCTACTTTAATGCGTGAGAATCGCGTAGAAGGGCGACAAATCATTTGAGCGCAGATATTATTTGCAATATACGATCATTTAATTGGAGGTTTTTATCATAGAACACATTCTAGATCCTTAATTAAGATGCTCTTTGGGATCATACATAGCGCCAGCTTGTGCCTGATAATTGAACTCGCTTTCGATGTCAATGAAATATTTCTAAAAAGCATCAGATAGCAGCTTCAAACTGATCAGTCTATGTAGACCGCTTGAAGCGAGCTGTGCGTCTTAAAAGCCCTGTGTGCGCGATTCGTATTTATTAATTATATACATTATCAGTTTTATGCATATATATACATATTACTGAATAATGTTATCAGCCATTTTAACATTGCTGACAGCATGTTCACTAGGTAAGAAAAATATGTTTATGGAATTATAATTTGAATTTTGGTTAAAAATGCAATGTTTATCCCTGGTAGAGGATATTAAATGTTGTCTTCAGATGTGTATCGCATAAAGGCATACATCTCCGAGCCCATAAGGTATATGCTATATATGCTTGTCTCTCCGTCTCTTTCTATTCGATCTTGTCTTTTAATTCGAAAGCTATCCACATGAAATTTTGCGTAGGCGAATATCGATCGAAAATTCGTACGAACAAATTTTCTATTCTATTAGCTATTCTTCTAACATATTTTCTCGCCAGCTAACCATAAAACAAATATTATTTAATGAAGCCGTTAAGCTTGTGTGCAAATTTTTGAGAATTTTTATATGAAATGTGGAATATACGATTAAATTTTTGAAAGTTCTTGGAAGTTTATTCGTTTATTTGATTTGCAAATGGGAAAATGTATCGATTACACACAGAGTTATTCGCATTTGATCCGTTTACTGTTATACTATAATAATATACTATATTGATCTAACGAACTGAACATATGAGATTCAAGAAAAGCCTTGCCTTTCGATTGATCCCCCCTTAACCTTTTATTAGTTGTATATTAAAAGAGGATTACTCATCGGTTGCTTCTCTCTGAACAGTTGCAGCCGGACCACTGACTAATTGCACTTCAGATCAATTTGAGTGCCAGAACGGCGACTGCATTAATGGCACACTGAAATGCGACGGTATCAAAAACTGTGTGGATGGCAGCGATGAGATCTTCAACACCTGCTATAACACAACCTGTGCCCAGAATTTCTTTCGCTGCAACTACGGCGGCTGTGTGCCTCATCACCTGACATGCAATGGAGGCAACGATTGTTGGGATAAAAGCGATGAAAACGTTTTTTTGTGTGCGGGTGAGGCAAACGTGGACGAACGGCTAGCCGCGATGAAAGGTAGCTGCAGGTGAGTCTTGGGCTCAGATTAGTTAGGGACAGACATGATATAACAAGACTCTGTATAGCAACTTCTATGCATTTGAATGCAAGGACAACTACAGTTGCGTGAAGTGGAGCCAATTGTGTGACGGCCATATTGATTGTCCCAAGGGCGACGATGAGTCTCCGGATGTGTGCGGGGCCAGCATATGTCCCACCGGTTCTTTTCGCTGCGAGACTGGCGCCTGCATCAATGGCAAGAGCCTCTGCAATCAGAATATCGACTGTCCCGATGGTAGCGACGAAATACCCGATATATGCCTCAAGAGAGAACTAACCATACCAGACATATTAGCTCCAACTGGTTCGGTAGAGGCAGCCCCCAGCGTCTGGAGGACCAACTCTTGCCCCTTGAAGACAGAGCAGGGTATGCGAGTGGAGGATTACTTTTCAGAGTTTACGTTCAGGCCAGATGGTGAGGTGCCGGACAAAACCATTGTGTCTCTTACCTGTGAAAGCGGCTACGAGATTTTCGGAGCCAATATCAATAAATGCGACAACGGAAAGTGGTTTAATGAAGTCGATCTTCTTCCCCACGTTTGCATGCGTGTCTGCGATCAGAGCCCGATTGTACGCAACATCAGCTATGCGACGCAGTGTGTCTCCGATAATGCTGTTGTCGATTGCAAACAAAATAAGCTCATGAAGGGCACCAAATTATTGGTAAATTGTGGGCCCGGCTTTAGGGCCAAATCGAGTGCTAATCAATTGGGTCGACACAGCTGCAATGAGAATGGCGAGTGGTTCGTTGAAGAGCCTAATCCAATTTGTGAGCCCATCTGTGGTGTAAAATCTTCGCAACATCCCGACATCACGCCCTGGTCCGTGACCATTTTTCAGCGCCGCTCTAGCATCCAGCCGGACTATACGTTCAGATGCGTGGGCACTATACTAACACCATATATTGTAATTACGGCCGCGGACTGTTTTTCGGATATGTTTGTAAAAGATTCACATATTTACTACACCATCGCGGAGGGCAATCACAATATCGACTTCAATCAGAATGAGGACCATGGCTATGATCTACACAACATTTTGGATATACACTTGGTCACGTTGTAAGTATCAAAAGAAAGTAGGTTTTAAGTATGCGTATACTGATATTTACTTTGATCTCTAATATATCACAGCAACACGACACAGAAGGCAGCTTTACTAACTCTGGTAAAACCCTTCTGGCTAGGTGCTCTGGTCCGACCCATTTGCTTGACTGCCAGCCAGGCAGATATTGCAGATAGTTCTCTGCAGATCGCAAGTGCCGGGGACTTCAGCAAGCAACAATTGGGTGAGGGGCAGACGGTATATGAGAACGCGAGGTATACCCTTACACACTTTGTGGCCAGCGAATCGAGCAAATATAATATTGCAGCTTTTATCAGCGCTATCAATAATGAAATAGCTAAGACGGAGCAAAGCCCTTGAACGTTTTACTGTAATTTGTTTTAAAAACAAAACAAAATCTACTACATCTACTACTGCTAATAATAAGTATAAGTATCTTATGCGCATTATTGGTTTAATTAACTAAGTCTTATTTGCATAAGGTATATAAATATACATACCTATTTGCATAAATACATACATACAGATATGCATACACACACATGATTACATCACATACACAATTTATGTTCAGTAAACTGGTAAAGCACAAAAGCCTGCAGGTCTTAGTTCGGATAATGAGAATGGCAGGGCAGTATTTTAAAAACGTTTGTTGAATGCACAAGTAAGTATAATATTAACATATTTATAAGCATACATACATAAGTACATAAATACACACATACTCACATCTCGATACAACTGCATACCTGCCTCCCCTTCTCCTCCTACACCTTTGACTCCACCGTCAAAGCTACCGTGTCAAGCAAGGCCAAGTTGATTTGCTGAGAATCGAGGAGGAAGGCGTTTAAAATCTCTTTCTTCTAAAGTTATAGAGCAACGAAAATCAACTTGGCCTGTGAATATTACCACTTACATATATACAAATACATTCAAACATTCTATTACATTTTAAACATTAGCAGCTTATTCTATATCGTGCACACGTTAGCATGATATCTGTACATCTGAAAAAAAAAATTTTGACCTGCTTACAGGGTATTACACCGTCGCGTACTCCTAACAGTTGCTTCTGTACGAGCAAAGTTGATAAGAATTTGCTTAGTCTTGTGAGAGTTTTTTATTATATATATATATAAATATATGTATGTATATATCTTGGACTATCGTCTGTGCGCAGAAGCTAAATGAATGGGTAAATATGGTGGAGAAACCATATAGCGTAACCCAAAAACCGAATCCAATCCAAGTGCTGTGGGGGAAACTTTGGCAAATTGCAGAAGCCGCAAAAACCAAAAAACAGTTTGTCCAACGGGCGCCAGCGTATGCGAATTGTCAAGGGGTGCGAATCTAAGATTGACTAAGAGTTTCTCAAATTTCTTAATAAACTTTAATGACTGCGGGTGTTGCAGTGTCAACTGCCACTCTTGCTGCCGTTCCTGTTGCAGTTGCAACTTTGATGAACCTGATAAACCGAAACGCCCGAAAGTATGCAACGGCAAGAGGAGCAGCAATTCATCGGTACAGCAACGCAATAAACCAGCAGCACCAAGGAGCTGGTGGTGGGTGTATTCTGCAGGGGGGAGGGGTTCTGGAGTGTAGTAAAAGCAGGTTGAACATTTTCGCCAATATCAAATGTTAGTGTAGATTTGCACCAATAATTTACTTGGGCAGCACGTAGCGAGTGTCACGCATGCAGCGGTTGGGCAAATTGAGGCGGAGGCTGTCGCTGCTGCTGCTGCTCTGCTGAGGCTGTGGCATGCAACAAGCTTGGCATTCATTTCGGTGGCAACTCATGCATTACTCATGATGTGTGTATGTCAGCGGCCTGTCCGATGACTGCCGCACGGCTTGGCTTTGAATTGTCTTTGCCACTGGCACAGCCACACTTGCCACACTCGCCACACTTGCCGCATGGCCACTGTTTTAATATGGACGCTGCGGCTTTTGCAGTTTAATGGAGTTGCCCCTAAAAAGAAAGGCGTGCCCGCGCCCGTGACCCGTCCCTTGCCCAGTAGCGTTTATTTAACTGCCGACTTGTTTGCGCAAATTAACACATTTATTTATGCCACAATTTGTTACTTAAATATTTATCGAAAATAAAGCCGAGTTAACATTAATAATTTGCGTTTATTTGCATATACATTTAATAGTATTCATAATAATAGACGAATTTTATCACACACACATATGATATGGCTGGCATACAGGCGCACACATACACGACACGCACATGCACAAGCACACACACACACACACGACACACGGACAGCATAAGTTGAGAGATTTAAATAGCGCGATATTTGAATAGGAAGAGTGCGCCTGCATCCAGCTGAAGATGGGGGCCCAGTTGATGCCAAAGGTCATCCTGTCTGGCTAAACTCGTATATCGTTCACTTATAAATTCGCTGGGTTGGGGTTGGGGTTGCTATTGTTGCTGTCCGGCTTTGGAGGCAATACGCCCGGCTCCATCAGCCGCAGCAGCCACATCAGACTGTACTCCCGAAAGCAGCAGAGGAAGCTGAGTGCCAGCAACAGCGAAAGCAGGGCACAGCTGCAGCTGCTGAGCACGGCAACCGCGGCATGACTCTGCAACGGCAGCTGCTCCGACTCCAGACACAGCCGGAACTCGTCATAGTCCAGGCGCGTGATGGCGCAATAATGATTGAGCATGCAACGGCCCAGGCAGGCGGCGCCCGACTGAAATCTGACGGCATTGGCGCGATGATATCTGCAAGTAGACCGAGGCAAACAGCTAAGCATCTGTGAAGCAGTAGAGTAGAGAGTTGGGCCTGAGCGGGCTGGCTACCTGCTAAACCAGGAGGCATCCTTGCCGGTGAAACGCTCCGCAAAGTTGTGCAGCGCTATGGCCGATATCTCGCCGAGCGCATAATAATGCGTCAGATTATACTCGGACTGCCAGAGCGGTTCTTGGACGCGATTGGCCAGCGACAAGTCCAGCCAATATTGAGTATAGTCCAGCACCTGGCCGCTGCCCGTGTCGAACTTGTATAGACGCAGCGCTGGATTATTGGAGGCGCCAATACCCTCCTTGCGCGGCACCACCGACGGCGCTATCATCAGCCACGAAATGGGCGTGCCTGCGCGTAACCAAGATTTCATATGCTATTCAGTAGAGAATTGGTTTGACCTGCTCACACGTACCCTGATCATCGTAGATTAGGCGAAAGGTGTCCGAGTGCAGATGCCCAAAGAACTGGCCCTGTATGACCGAGGCATACTTGCGCACCAGCTCCAGGTAGCGTCTATTGTTGCGTTCCGTGAAGATCAACTGGCCATGATGCTGCGGTCCCACGTAGCGCTCATCCACGCCCGGCGGCATGTGTCCGACTATGTAAACCTTCACGAGCAAGCGTTGGCAAAATAGACAAGCTTAGAGTATATGTTTGTTTGCTATTCCCCAAACTCAGTATAGGTCAACAAAAGTAGGGTAGTAAAAACCCCACCGTTGGGCTTTTGATTGATTAAACTTAATATCAATCTTCATCTTTTTTAACACTCCCTCCCCCACGTAACATTGAAGATTGAATAATATTAAAAAGTGCAATTAAAAAAAAAAATCAAATAAAAGCATAAGCTATGAATTAAAGAATCTCTAGTCGGTTATGCCCGACTAGGAACGTGCCAAAAATGTTTGGTTATTTATTTGGTCTTTGGTTAAAGAACCGATTGCTGGATATATTGACAAAATGAGTGAAGTTATCGAAAAAATAATCTCATTCTGCATATGAAAGACGTGATATAACCAAAAATAAATATAGCCAAGTAAGAATGGTCTAGTCGGGAGTGCCCGACTAGTGGATACCCTGAACCATCTTTTCCCACAAGCTATGCGCTTGATTGCCTTATCTTAATATTACTCAACTCTAGAAGATACATGTCAAATTTTGTGATTCAAGCTGATCAAATTTAAAATTTCACTTGCAAGTTATCGATGATCGACTAACTCGTGCTTTTGATAATGGCCAGGAATATATACAAGTGGTTTATAGAATCGGAGATGCTTCCTTTTGCCTGTTATATACACTTGCAAGCAAGTATCTGCAATGGATTCAGGGTATTATGTTTTTTTCTGGGCTTACCAAATGCTTCTTTAGCTTTAACCATTAAATTGTAAGGCAAATTATATGTTTGCATACCGTTTCCTGTTTGTCCCTAGACTTGGCCAGTACCTCATCTAGCCACAGCCACTGTTGCTCGGCCTGCAGTTGATCCTGGTCGGACATTGTGCGACTGGGCTTTGCATAGTAGTCAGCCGACCAGCGCAGGCTGTCCGACTGCTTGGTCTCGGAGAGGAGCTCGTATCGCATAAAGTTGGTGTTCAGGGCAATGATGCGGAGACGGCTTCTGGTTTGCTCGATGGAATAGTAACCGCCCTGCTCGAACGTGACGAGTGCCTCTGTGGGCAGCCAGTGGCGCCAGAGTTCGCCCATTTGTTTGTACTTGTGGATGCCGGTGCTGCCGTCCTCGTGGCCCAGCACGGGGAATATGAAGGGCGAGGAGAAGCTGCGTCCCAGCAGTTCGGTGATGTTGCGCAACGTCTCGAGCTGCACATGCTCGGACCGTGCCTGAGCGGAGTGCGAGAGGGCATCGCCAGTCCAGAGCACAAACTCCACATTGTCGCCCTGCTTGGCCTTCATGGTCTTGACCGCTGACTCGACGAGACTCCAGGGACTGTCGCAGTTGTGGTTGCCAAACGGGCCCGGCGACTCCGTCTCCGTCTCCTGGCGCCCATTGGAGGCGACGGAGCCGCTGGTATGCGCCAGCTGCCAGCAGCTTCTGTAAATGTCGCCCTGTGTGGAGTAATGTGTGTCCAGATGCAAGTCGCTTATGTGCCAGAAGTAGCCTGTAAATGCAGTGGAGAGTCAGAGAAAATTAGAGACTGCGGATTAAAGGGGCAGCCCGTTGGGCAATTCCTGAACGGGAAAGGCCACGCGCCAGGCGGCATTTGCTGGCCGGCTGGCTGTAAAAACCCGGCGCAAAAGATTTGCCTGTAATTGACCTAACTGACCTGACCGAGCCGCAACCCGCGAACCGCGACACCGACTACCGGCTCTACCTGGCAGAAGTCAAGAAGTCACACTTGATTGCGACGGCGAGCCTTTGAGGTGATCATCGGCGAGTCCACAAATCAGTTGGCGTTGGCATGCGCACTGATCAATTTGTAAGCGAGAGCCTGAGTCGAGCCGCGAGTCGAGCGACAGGAAAAAGGATACGCAACCGTCCGGTTAGTGAGAGAGTGGAACCGAGACTGGAACTAAAACTGGAAGAGGACTGGAGACTGGCGATCGGGATTTGTATGACAGCAAGATGAGTTTGCGTTTCAGTCTGGCGCTGCTGCTGATGGTCGCCATGTCGCAGCTGTGGCAGCAGGTCGACGGCAGGAAGAAGCTGTGCGGCGACGCACTCAACGAGGCCC